AAGCTACTTGAAAAATGTAGTGAGCTAAGCTAAAAGCTACATGGCAAATGTAGCTTAGCTACATCTAAGTTATTTTTTCATTTTTAAATCTAAGCAACTTAAATTCAAGTGAATCATATTTTAGAGATCAATAAAATGGTCAATGAAACATATGGGGCAGAATAGTTCAGTTAATTACTGTAAATAATATGCTGTACTAAAAACACATTATAGTAAATAACAGCCATAACAAAACATCCAATAAAACCAGGTGTTACACATTTAAAATACTATAGTCATTTATAGTAAAGAGAAATATTTTGAAATAAGCATTATATTGTGTTTGTGTATATATATATATATATATATATATATTATGCCTTCTTGTTTAGCCTGCATTAATGCATTCAGTGTAAGCTGCACGATTATTTATTCAAAGATCAGGATCTCAACACCCACACAACATAAATTATAAATGATGCTGATCTGCATATGTTTATTAATGCTTCCAATCACTGCATTCAAATCTGTTTAAAACACGCAAAACTCAAAGAGATTCAGTCTTTAGTCTTTTGAGTTCGTTATGAAGTTACAAACAGTCAAACAACACAGAAGTACTGGGAGAGCAGTTGATAGTTTCGATAAAACCACTGATGTTTATGGTGAAGATTAATATCGCCGTCATGTGCATTTAACGATGCTCAGAATTAAAGTTTAGCCAGCCATCAAAAATATACCAATGAATAATTCTTGAAAAATGATCATCCAGCAATGAAACATGAAGTTTTATGAGTGAATCACTGCATCATTTATCGAAAATGAGACCAAAAATAAATATGGGTTGTACAAATGATAGTCTTAGATTTCTACATTTAGTGTCATCAGCAACAGTAGTGAATTTCTCACAGTTCTATTTTACAATTTATTTCTATTCAGCTGATGATTTCTTCACTTTTTTTGTGAAACCAGAAGTTTCTTGCAGTGCTGTTTCTGAAATAAATGGAAAACAAATTACAATAGTCTCCTATTCCTCCTTTTTTGGCCGATCAGAAAAATGGTCTGACCTGTGACTAAAACCATAATGTGATCCGTTACAGCACTGCTTTGCTAATCAGCACCTTTCTTCCCCCTTCCAGTTGTTGAAGAAGTGGGCGCCAGTCTTCAAGAACTACGTGAAAAGACCCCAAGACCAAATGGACTGCCTGACGTCCATGGAGGAGGTGTTCCTTGAGCAGGACACTCACTGGGCAGCTCTAGTCAAAGTGAGTGCCCTCCTTTTCCACTTTTGCTTCATGCTTTCGTTTTTGTGTGTTGCTGGCTGATCGTGTGTAATGATGTGGGTGTGATGTGTGCTGTAGGTGCTGATGAACATGTATCAGCTGGAGATCCTGGAGGAGGACGTGATCATGCGCTGGTTCACTCAGAGCTCCACCACTGACAAGAGCCAGAAGCTGCGCACTAATGCGGGGGTGAGGAGCTGCAGCATTACTGCATAACAGACCTGGGCCCGCCGGACATCTTTGATCAACCTGTGTGAACCATTTGGTTCATTTAAATTCAACATGACCGTGCAATGTGCAGGTCTCATATAGCGAGACAATGAGAGGAGCTTGTTCGCATATTGCGTCTTTTGCATGCTCAGTTTTGTCATTTCGATGTTAAGTTATTTTTATTGACCAAATTTAAATCAATTGCCCCCAAAATAACACACCTTAGGGTGCTTTCACATCTAGACGTTTGTTTGGGAATTGTTCCGTTTGTTACAAATCTTTTCCTTTTCCACAGTAGAAAAAAAATCTGTAGCGTTTAGCCCTGTACAAGTCTATAATTTCATTCATAATGGTCTTTTAAAAGTCTTATAACAGCCTTGATGAAACCCTGACACACACAGAGCATTTTGTGAATGACTTTATAAAATTTTTTATATATATTTAATTTTTATATTAAATTTTTTATAACTATTGTCTTTTATTTTGTGTCTGTCCGCAGCTCCTGAAATTCATTCAGTGGCTGGAGGAGGCTGAGGAGTCTTCAGATGAAGATTAATCAACATCAAAACCATCATGAGTGAGATTTACAACACTTCAGACGGTCAATAATACACTTTGAAACCTGGAAAATACAACGGGCTGGCGTGCTTTGCTGAATATTTGATGGGAAATAAAGACATGTAAATGTATACGGACACACAGGAGATGTGGAAACTGATATTTATTCACAGTTTGATTTACTTAAAGCAAAGATAAAAAGACATGACGTCAAAGCTTTCATAAAATCTCATTTTTGTTGATGTCACTGAGATTAAAATGAGAAAAAATAATGACCAATGATCTCTAATCTCAAATGTTTGCATTTTTAGGCCTGCATAAAGCTGCAGTTGTGCAAATGAACAGCCAAAGACTTCCCTCACATAACAAATTGTATTATTTGTTTGTCTACAGAATACAAAAAGGTAGCATTAGTGCCCATCGGCCTTCATTATTTAAATAAAAAACTAGCATTTTCCAAAATATTCTACTTTTAAATAATATCATGTGATATAAGCACAGCGAATATTATTACTATCAAATAAAATAATAATTCAGGACGGTACTGAATAATAACATAAGCATCCATTGGCTTTCATTAATAAAAAAAACATTTCTCTACTTTTGAACAACAGCACATGACAAAAGCAGAGTGAAAATGATTACTGTTATCAAATCTAAAAAAACAAATCTGACAGAGAATTTTGATAATAAACCATTCATATATACAGTAAGAAATTTGGCTCTCTCCGTCTTTAAACATTACAGTACAGTGGTCCCTCATTTATCGCTGGAGTTACGCTCTAAATATAACACGCAAAAGGCAAAACCCCTCACTACACACATTATACACTTTTCTCTCTGGTTTGAAGGGTCACGAAACACCAAAACACATGTTTTAAGATGTTGACAGTCATATACGTGTCCCACGCTGCTATAAACACTATTAGGACACTTATATTTAGCTAAAAAGTGAAAATTGGCTGTTTTTGCATTGTTTAGAGCAAATTAATTTTTCCAGGTTAAAAATAATTAAATAATTGCATGGCCCTTTAAATATTACAGAAATTCAATTAATCATGAACGCTTACGAATTGTGAGTGGCTTTTAATACACATTCGTCATTTGTCAAAGTTATCATAAAGCTATTCAACAACACTCGTTCTTGTTTTGGGACAATTTTTACCAACTTTATTGATCCACTTCAAATCTTGATTAATTTCTCAAGAAACAAGTTGAAGATACAACGCTCCATAATCCGATCTTTTCCTGATCAATTCAGCTAGTTTAAGAGATTGTAGCTCAATTTATTAATCAAGTTGACGATATAACGCTCCATACTCCGGTCTTTTTCTGACTAATTCAGCTAGTTTCAGAAACTGTAGATGAATTTCTCAAGAAGGGAGTTTATAATATTCATAAAAAAAAAGCTAAAGATCATTCGGAATGTGCAAGGCTTGAGAAATACACTAGTAAAACTGCATAAGTGATTAATTTTAAACGCTCAACGCTCCACACTCCGATCTTTTCCTGACTAATTCAGCTAGTTTAAGAGACGGTAGATCAATTTCTCAAGAAAGGAGTTCATATTATTCATAAAAAAGCTAAAGATCATTCGGAATGTGCAAGGCTTGAGCAATACAATAGCAAAACTGCATATGTGATTAATTTTAAACGGCCAACGCTCCATAATCTGATTTTTTCCTGACTAATTAAGCTAGTTTAAGAGACTGCTGATCAATTTCTTAAGTAGTGAGTTTATGTTATTCATAAAAAAAGCTAAAGATCATTCTGGGTGTGCAAGGCTTGAAAAATACACTGGTAAAACGGCGAATGAGTATGGTTTTCCAGTAATGCGATCGTTCCCTGAGTGATTCAGCTAGTTTTTCTATCTTTAAGACCAGCGTGGATGAATCCCGCTAGCAGTGTAGACCCTGTGAGCCCGAACAGCACCGTGAGCCCTTTCCACATGTTGACGCTGTTCTGGTGCCGCTGCATGAAGCTGTTATAATCGCTGGGGATCAGGACGAAGCTGCGGCCATCTTTGGGCGGCTGTATCCTCATGATCTTCTCCTGCTCCAGGACCAGCTCTCCGAATGCAGTGAGCGGGACTCCCACCCGCAGCAGATCCTCTCGCTCCTCCAGAGCTATGGGTTTTTCTCCGCTTATTTCCCCCAAAACGGCGTCCATCAGGCCCTCTTTAGCGTTTCTGACCCGTCTGTGGACCTGCTGGAGGAAATCACCGGACGCCTCCAGAGGAGAGTCCACACGCACACACACGTCGCTGATGAATGAGCCGGGCTGCACCAACGTAAAGGGCACCGTGTTGGTGGTCTGCTGCTTGTTCACTTTTTTGGAGACCCTGTGTGGAAGATGTTTTTTTTTCACGGTTTGTAATGCATAGATAACAACACACATACATGGTTTATAATACAAGAGAATCATTTGAGAAATCAATTCTGCAATACATGCTAGTTTTCAACTGCAGACGGCGCTTTAGACTAGTTATTCACAGCAGACGGCGCTCTAGCATAGTTTTTAACAGTAGACGTCGCTCTAGGCAGTTTTTAACAGCAGACAGCGCTCTAGGCTAGTTTTTAACAGCAGACGGCGCTCTAGGCTAGTTTTTAACAGCAGACAGCGCTCTAGGCTAGTTTTTAACAGCAGACGGCGCTCTAGGCTAGTTTTTAAAAGTGGACGGCGCTATAGGCTAGTTTTTAACAGCAGACGGCGCTCTAGGCTAGTTTTTAACAGCAGATTGGGCTCTAAGTTACTGTTTAAACTGCAGCTGGCGCTCTAAGCTAGTTTCGAACAGCAGTTGGCGCTCTAGGCTAGTGTTTAACAGTGGACTACACTCTAGACTAGTGTTTAACAGCAGACAGCGCTCTAGGCTAATTATTAACAGCAGACGGCGCTCTAGGCTAGTTTTTAAAACAGCAGACTGTGCTCTAGGCTTGTTATTTTAGCAGATGGCGCTCTAGATAAGTCAGCACTCTAGGCTAGTGTTTAACAGTGGACTACACTCTAGGCTAGATTTTAACAACAGATGGCGCTCTAGGCAATTTTTAACAGGAGACGGCCCTCTAGGGTACATTTTAATAGCAGATGGTGCTCTAGGGTAGTATTTAACAACAGACGGCGCTCTAGGCTATTTTTCCACAGGAGACAGCGCTCTATGGTAGATTTTAACAGCAGATGGAGCTCTGGGCTATTTTTTTCCACAGCACGCGGCGCTCTAGGCTAGATTTTAATAGCAGACAGCGCTCTAGACTACTTTTTAACAGCGGACGGCGCCCTAGGCTAATTATTAACAGCGGATGCCGCTCTAGGCCAGTGTATACAGCAATACAGCAAACAGCGATTTAGGCTAGTTTTATACTGCGGACTGCATTCTAGGCTAGATTTTAACAGCAGACGGTGCTCTAGGCTTGTGTTTAATGGCAGATGATGCTCTAGGCTAGTGTTTAACAGCAGGCAGCACTCTAGGCTAGTGTTTAACAGCAGATGGTGCTCTATGCTAGTTTTTAACTTTACATGGTCTTCTAGGCTTGTGTTTAACAGCAGACGGCGCTCTAGGCCAGTTTTTAACAGCAGATGGCGCTCTAGGCTTGTTTTAAAACAGCAGACGATGCTCTAGGCTAGTGTTTAACAGCAGGTGGTGCTCTTTGCTAGTTTTTAACTGTACATGGTGTTCAAGGCTTGTGTTTAACAGCAGACGGCGCTCTAGGCCAGTTTTTAACAGCAGATGGCGCTCTAGGCTTGTTTTAAAACAGCAGACGATGCTCTAGGCTAGTTTTTAAACAGCAGACGGCGCTCTATGCTAGTTTTTAACTGTACATGGTGGTCTAGGCTTGTGTTTAACAGCAAACGGCTATTTATATAACTCTGCTCAGGACCATTGCTGTCTATGGAGGATGAGAGAGCTCCCGGATTTCATCGAAAATGTTTAATTCATTGATCTGAATGATATGAAGGTCATTACCATGACTTGAGAAGAGAGTTCCAGTATTTCCAGTGTTCATGCACAGTAATCTTCTGAATGACACCATGACAGCGTGGCACATACTGGCTGGAAATGGGCTCTCCAACAGCCTGCACCAGTCCTGCAAGGTATAAGGTATAGTATATTATATAGATGTAAAGTATGTATTAGTGGGGGTTACATTTTATTTACCTTCCACAGCAACATAATGAAGTCTCTTGTTGGACGATGCGTTCAGAATCCTGAGCAGATGATGGTCTGGTTGAAAGTTTGGGATCTCCTGCAAAATGGAGGACACTAGCAAATGTTGGAAATGTTACATGAGCTTTATTTTGCCAGCAGTGATATAGCAGTCATTACCTTCAGCTTCTGTACTTCTAGTCTTTTATCTGAATATAGTTTATAAAAGAGACCAGAGAAGGCGAAGCAGGACCCCGCACATATGACGGTGAGTGGGTGAAAGAGAGGATCACTCATTTCTGCTCTGGAAATGAAGACAAAACAAACATGTAAAGCAATAGTTGACCCACAAATAAAAAAGTGTTTGTATTTACTCATCCTTGTTCTAAACTAGTTCGAGTTTCTTTCTTCTGTTGAACACAAAGGAAGATATACTGGAGAATGTTTAATTGACTTGCTCTACTATTGATGTCTCTACTATTGATGTCAATGGCTGCTTTCTAACATTCTTCAGATTATCTGGATTTGTGTTAAACTGAATACAGATTCATACAGGTTTATAACCATTTTAGTCTGAGGAAATTGAGAACTATCGCTTTAAAGCTTGTCAGAAGTGTTGTAAAACATGTTAAACCATAGACAGTATAATAAATAGCATGGTCCGCTTCTATAATATCAATCACGAGGCGTCTAGCTATCTATTATAGGCTCAGTGTTAAACCATCAATAGGAGCAGTAACATTAGCGATTCAGATGTTAAACGGATTTATATATGTGCTTTTATTTTAAATCATGATCATAACAATTAAATATGTACACATTGATAAGCCAAATTAAAGAAATTATACATTCATTCCAACTAGTTTAGATCTCGTGACTAGTCGAATCTACTTTTGGTTTCATTCCACCTCATGCTCGTAAAACTATATTAAACATAAGTTAACTAAACATTTTATTGTGTATGTTAAATTAAATTCGCGCCATTTCACAAACCACTTACCTCAAAACGGAAAACAACAGGTGAGGTAAACACGACTCTCCGCTGAACTGATAACAGGTAAGTCACGACGAATTAGGAAACTACAGCGAATTATTCTGTAATTAAACTCAATTATTAGCGTTAATACTAAATATACATTCTGTATGATATGTCCTGTAACCTTTGGGGTGTGTGTTCAGTTGAATGGGTTTCACCTCTGAATTCTTACCTGAAGTTTATAACACACAGTCAATCCGCCATTATTACAGCTGCAGTGACCACACTACGGCTCGGCTTAAAGGTAAAGTTCACTCAGAGTTTACCATTCTGCCTTCATTCATGTAGTGATTAATTAATTCTCTACTTGTTTCAAATCACCTTGACCCTCTTCTTTTTAACGCAAATCAAGATATTTAGTGAAGTAATGGGAAATAGCAGCCATTGACGTCAAGTAGGAACAAACAATACTATGGAAGTCGATGGCTGTTTTTTTAGACGTTCTTCGGTATATCTTTATTTGTGTTTAACAGAAGAAAGTCAAGCTGGTTTGAAACAAACAGAGAATGATTTATAAAAGTGTAGAATCATTTGAGTGTGGAGACTTGGCGAGGGAATTTAATTTTGGGTGAACCATCCCTTTAAATCACTGAAGACTCCTGCCGGAAGTAAGAATATGACTGACTCACGTGACTTATAGGATGTAGAAAATGTCTAAATTTAAGCGTTTATTAATGTTTTAAAGCATTTCAATTCATTTTTGTGTATATAGTTAATAGTTATTTTAAAGATCAAGTTATTATTACTTTGTGTGAAATATCTTTGGAGAAGTAGGTGCTGTTTAACTTCCTTCCTAATGTCAATGTATGACTAAATTATAAACTATTTATTTTATCAACATGACCAATAGATCGACAAATAGTTTTATACTTATATATTATAATATTTACAGCACATCGGTAATGAATGCTACATACAGCATACTTTAGTTTTAACTATAGTGCACTGAAATACTGTGATAAACACTGTATACTTGGTATTTAATACTAGCATACTTTAGTTTTTACTACAGTAAACTGTGTATTGAAGTAAAATATATTGAGAAAGTAGTAGAAAACGTATTTTTTATACACTATTGTAATGTTAATTGAAGTGCTTTACCATAGTATGAACCCTCATGGGAAACATAATTCAGTTTTGTGATTTCTGCTTGATTATAGCCAAATCATAGTTTTGCGTCACAAATACACTCACCGGCCACTTTATTAGATACACCTGTCCAACTGCTCGTTTATGCAAATTCTAATCAGCCAATCACATGGCAGCAACTCAATGCATTTAGGCATGTAGACACGGTCAAGACGATCTGCTGCAGATCAAACCGACCATCAGAACGAAAAAAAAGAAAGGGGATTTAAGTGACTTTGAACATGGCATGGTTGTTGGTGCCAGACAGGCTGATCTGAGGATTTCAGAAACTGCTGATCTACTGGGATTTTCATGCACAACCATCTCTAGGGTTTACAGGTAATGGTCTGAAAAAAAGGAAATATGCAGTGAGCGGCAGTTCTGTGGGCGCAAATGCCTTGTTGATGAGGCCAGAGGAGAATGGCCAGACTAGTTCCAGCTGATAGAAAGGCAACAGTAACTCAAATAAGCACTCGTTACAACCGAGCTCTGCAGAAGAGCATCTCTGAACACACAACACGTTCAACCTTGAGGCGGATGGGCTACAGCAGCAGAAGACCACACCGGGTGCCGCTCCTGTCAGCTACGAACAGGAAACTGAGGCTACAATTCACACAGGCTCACCAAAACTGGACAATAGAAGATTGGAGAAACGTTGCCTGCTCTGATGAGTCTCCATTTCTGCTGACACATTCAGATGGTCGGGTCAGAATTTGGGGTTAACAACATGAAAGCATGGATCATCCTGCCTTGTATCAGCTGTTCAGGCTGGTGGTGGTGGTGTAATGGTGTGGGGGAGATTCCCTTGGCACACTTTGGATCCATTAGTACCAATTGAGCATCGTGTCAACACTACAGCCTACCTGAGTATTGTTGCTGACCATGTCCATCCCTTTATGACCAGTGTCTCCATCCTCTGATGGCTACCTCCAGCAGGATAACGTACCGTCATACAGTGTGAATAATCTCAGACTGGCTTCTTGAACATGACAATGAGTTCACTGTACTGAAACGGCCTCCACAGTCACCAGATCTCAATCCAATAGAGCACCTTTGGGCTGGTGTAATGAGAGATTAGCATCATGGATGTGAATCCGACAAATCTGCAGCAACTGTGTGATCTCTGGGGAATATTTCCAGTACTTTGTTAAATCTACGCTACAAAGGATTAATGCAGTTCTCAAAGCAAAAGTTGGCCCAACCCTGTACTAGTAAGGGGTACTTAAAGTGGCCAGAGAGTGAGTATATAGTTGTTGCTTTTTATCCATTACTGTAGTATTACCACACCATATAATTCAAGTGCTTTACTGTACTATGGATCATCATGGGAAATAATTGTTTAATCAGTTTTTTCAAAAGCATGACTGAGTTATGAATGTATTAAACGTGCTTGTTTGTTGTAAAAATTCGTAATATGACAACAACAAATACAAATTTGTGGATCTCCTTACTTCCGTGAGCAGCAATTATGCCGTTGTAGCTGATGTATTTTGGGAAATTTTTGTACCCCTTGGTTTTGAGTGTGGTAGTGAAAAATCTCCATTTTAAGGGCTATTTAGCCCTTCCTCTAGCCCTTAACCAGGGGTGTCCAAACTCGGCCCTGGAGGGCTGGTGTCCTGCAGATTTTCGCTCTAACTTGCCTCAACACACCTGCGGGGATGTTTCTAGAAAGCCTAGTAAGAGCTTGATTAGCGAGCCCAGGTGTGTCTGATTGGGGTTGGAACTAAACTTTGCAGGACACCGGCCCTCCAGGACCGAGTGTGGACATGCCTGCCCTAAACCTTCAAGCCAAAGAAATTGGGACACGTCTACCCCTTCACCCGAACACACAAAACGAGGGATGGGGTACAAAAAAAGGCAGGGTTTTTCAAAGTCTAAGACAGTGGGCCTCCCTTTTGACACAACTTATCCATTGGCGCCCCCCTCCTCCCAAACATGCACGCACACACACAAATTCTGGAGGATTTCTTGCTACCCCATCATGCTTGGTTTCAAGGTGTCGCCGAAGTTTAGCGGGTCTCATGCTGTCATTAGCCAAAATATCTTGATAAACCACAGATAAAGGTCGTGGTTCATCAGCTGGTCCTGTCCACGTAAATCCTAAACTCAAATACTGATCATCATATCGTCGTCTTTTGGGTTTAAGCCCTGAACTTGAAGGCTTTGAATCGAGGGGTCTCAGAAACCGATCCATTGCATTAGCAGCATGATTAGCAGGCATATACCTGTATTGGCGGGCTTGCCAAACAGAAGCGAATTCACAGCTATGGCCTTCTGGGTAAAAAAGGTTTTCTTATTTTTAACATATTTTTTTAGCTTTGTTTACTTAAAACGTTTAAAAATAATAAAAAATACATAGAATAATTAAACTTAATAATTATATTTTTATTATATAATATTTTTTTCTGCGCCTCCCCTGACATGCTCTGGCGCCCCCCAAGGGAGGCGCGCCTCATACTTTGAAAACCCCTGGGCTAAGGTGTAGAATTGGTATTGGGCCTAAACATGTTTGAAACGAGACCAACAAAGACAAAAGTGGACGCGTAGACTCAAATCTAGTGTCGTCGTCCATTTTATTGTCCCTCCTCCTATGAATACAGAGAACATCGGCCATCACACTCGGAGGTCTTGCTAATTTTCACATACATAAGCTGGATCCAACTTTTCTTCTTTTATTTATTTTTTTCGCAGCACACACTGTTGTCCCACCCTGAATTACACAACGCTTCAGAAAAAAAAAAAACACACACACACACGCGAGCAGTAGTGCCATCTTAGTAATCATTAAAAAATAAAAACACAGCACAGAAGGAGTAATAAAAACATAAAAACAAATGATGCCGACAGACCACGTGCTCGAGGAGCTCGATTTTTCAAACGTCAGCATAAAAATCTAAGTGCAAAGATATGTCAACCACCTTAGCTAGAGAGAAAAACTAAATAATAATAATAAGTTTACAATCTAAACTCACGAACGTAACGGCAGATGTGTTTTAAAACAGATTTCTCTCTCACACACACACACACACACACACACACACACACACTAGGGTTGACACAACACTTGAATTCGATATCAATCGATACTGATATTATAAAAACGTCCATTTCCCGCTAACATTTGAGCGTGTTCTTAAACAGCGCTGATTGGCCATTGTGTTCACAAGCTCAACAGAAATGACTGTGATTGGCTGGGAAGGTCATCAGTTCACCAAACTCCCCTCTAAAAAGCTCCAGTATCTACACTCAGAAACAAAGTCAGTCGATCAGCTAGTTTGTCTATAAGCTGACATACCAGCGATTCGCTGATGAATCGTGGCTTTAAACGACTCCAGTGTCCCTGTATCTGTGGTTACACTCAGTAAACAGTGGTGAGTTTGGTGAACCTAACAGCCAATCACAGTCATTTCTGTTGAGCACGTGAACACAAGAGCAATTCAGCACAGTTTAAGAATGCGTTCAAATGTAAGAACGGTTTTAAAACCTCAGTGTTTATTGGTACCGAATTCCAGTATCGTGACAATACTACAATACACACACACACACACACGGACGTATACAGTTCAGAAAGAAGCGGTCCTAAGAGAGGAACTTGTATGATTAAAAAGGACCAGCCTGGATCTCCCGGGTGCTTCAACCAGATGATGATGAGGAAGAACTAAGCATACCAATATCATCACATGTCCAGCAGAGGGCGACAGAAATAAAATAAAAACCCACAGCAAGATCAAGACGACACATTTTGCTTCGTGCTACGGGTCAAAAACAAATCTAAATAACAAGAGGCTGAGCTTGACCTTCTTTCGAAACATTTAAAATAGTCAAATATACATTACTTATGTATATATATATATATATGTTGATAGTAAAATCGTCACAAGTCTCGCATTCTCACTTGGTGGAGAGAAGAAAAAAAAAACGTTCTGCATTTGGTAGAGCCGTCGAGAGAGAAATAAACTCAATTACACAGGGGGGAAAGCTTGAAGCGTTCACAACACACTTCAAAAGTCTATCTGGAAAATGCATACATTCAAGCAGCGATAAAAAAATATTTATGGCGAATGCATAATCTCTGGGGGGAAAGAAAGGAGGAGAAGAGCAACAACAAAACAAAAAATACTGTATGAACATCCCTGCTATCGTGTCTCTAAATACAAAACCTCTACCCAGAATTTGCTTCAGTGTAATAAGAAGTCCTTTGTGTTTTTCTCATTGTTTTCCGCAGGTAAAAGTCAGTTCTCAGTGTATGTACGGATGACAGTCTCACTTCTCTGGTTTCTATGGTCGAACAATCCATAAGCATGCAAGCGTTTGAAGAGGAGAGGAGGTTTGGGTGTTTAAGCCAGAGCTGGAAAAGCCTCAGGATCGTCAACGTTGGGAACGGAAACACCTCCACCCTGTGACAAATACAACGCAAATGAGCTCAGGATAAAAGCAGGCAAGTCAGTATCTAACAATCATGTGTTCAGACGGCAACAGCAAAGATCTAAGAATAACTATTTATTTAATTTAATCAGCTGGCACACCGGCTCTTTTTATACACTTCTGAATCACATACACTACCTGAGAAACATCTTGCCGCCTATTCAAGTTTTAGAAAGAACAAATAACTGGACTTCTGGTTGATCATTAGGTATCTAAAGTGGCTGATATAAAAGGTAAAGGCCTCTAGATTACGATTTTTTTACCATAATAAAACATGGTCATGCCTTGGTTTTTAAAGCTTTAATTAGGACAGTAAGGTCTGACTCTGCTCAGACAAAAGTCTCATCACTGAACAGAAATAATGTCCAGTATAGAATATAAAGTCCTGCTGCAGTGGAGACAGAATGAATATTGTGTCTGACTCCATCATGAGCTTGCAGGACTGCATCCATACATCTCTGACTCAAATCACTGATTAATAAAGTCATCCGGAATGGCAGAGAAAGCGTTCCTGCAGGACTCCCTGAGCTCATCAAGAGTCTTTGGATTCATCTTCAATGACTCCTCTTCCATCTTACGCCAGACATGCTCAATAATGTTCATCTCTGGTGACTGGGCTGGCCAATCCTGGAGCACCTTGACCTTCTTTGCTTTCAGGAGTGTTGATGTGGAGGCTGAAGTATGAGAAGGAGCGCTATCCTGCTGGAGAATTGTCCCTCTCCTGTGGTTTGTAATGTAATGGGCAGCACAAATGTCTTGATACCTCAGACTGTTGATGTTGATCATCCACTCTGCAGATCTCTTACACGCCCCCATACTGAGTGAACCCCAAACCATGATTTTTCCTTCACCAAACTTGACTGATTTAAGTGAGAATCTTGGTCCATGCTGGTTCCAGTAGGTCTTCTGCAGTGTTTGTGATGATTGGGATGCAGATCAACAGATGATTCATCAGAAAAATCCACCTTTCGACACTTTTCCGAATGATCAACTAGAAGTTATTATTGGTTTCTCTTACAACTGAGATTGACAAGACTTTTGTCAGGTGGTGTACATTACCTACACATTAATAAACTACACAACTTGCATATTCAAAAATGAAAATACAAAAACAAATCATCACAAATAAAGAAAAACATAATGAGAGAACAACAAAATATTGCAACAAAATAGCCAAAAATCTTTACCCAAGCAACTAATTAAAGATTAAAGGTAATAATGTATGAGATTATGTAATCTGGAAGTGTCCAAACTCGGTCCTGGAGGGCCGGTGACCTGGAGACTTTGGCTGTTTCTCAATTTCAAGACCGCAGAGAACGGACTTGTGTTCTTGTGGAGACCGGTCTTGCCTGGTGTCCTCGGAAGAACGAACTCAGGAGACCGCGAGAACAGAGAACGTGTGCTTTGAGAATTGAGATGCTGCGTTCTTCCTGATGGTCACATGACCTTCACGTGTTTTAAATGGAAATTATTTAAACATTACAGCCTTCATACAGCGATTTATTGTTTTCTCCCTCTTCAAAATATATACTATGCATAAAAACATTATCAATATACTCTGCACAATATAAATAAAACAGATTTTAATACGAATTTCAGCAAATAAACACCCTTATTAAGATGTTTATGTTAATGTTTACTTTCACCGTTTCCTTTAGGGAAACTCCTGAGGAAAATAAGTCATATCTCTGAACTTTAATAATAAATCTAAATAAAATGCTGCGCTTCCCACCTCCAGTCGCAATGACTTCTGGGACTTCCAGAGCGAGATCGGTGCTCAAGTCTGCATCGGTGCGTCCTCGATATCAAGATCACATCCAGGAAGTTTTACGCGTCCTCCGTACTTGCGGTCTTGAGTATTGGAATTGAACTTAGGCAGCTGTTGATGACGTTACACGAGAACACGAGGACGCAAGACCGCTGAAGAACGCATATTGAGGAACAGCCTTAAGCTCCAACCATAATCAAACACACCTGAACCAGCTAATCAAGCTCTTACTGGATACTAGAAACTTCCAGGCTGGTGTGTTAAAGCAAGTTGGAGCTAAACTCAGCAGGACCGAGTTTAACACTCCTGCTAAAAAGAGAGCAACATCCTGTGATGAACCCTGTCTAAAGAGCCGGTGTGCTCGAAAAGTTACACACTTGGAGCACAAAAAAAAAAACAGAAGGGTCTTAGAGGGGGCGGAGCATGTCAGATACCAGAGAGCATTTGATTGGTCAGGTTGATGAGAAATTGAAGTATGAGGTGGCGTGAAAACAGAAGTAGCCATTTAGGCGGAAGTGTAAAACTACAAGCGTTACATGTTTATATCAGTTTTATGTCTTCTGAACACAAATTTTGTCACCACACTAGCTTATCGATATCCTAAAAACTAATAATGCAGATGCTAACGTAAAAAACTACTATATTTTAAATGTCACTGCACCTTTAAGGATCTGTGGACAGCCTGTAGTAACGCTCAATGTATGAAATTTGGATTGGAATGATAGGGAATTGGTGCATAGCAGGTTATTTACCTTCTCAGATCTGCCTCCGCCTCGGCTTGGTCGTCCCCCGCCGCTGCCACCGCCACCACCGCGACCGCCACGTCCCCCACGAGAGCCTCCGCGCCCGCGTCCAGGCCGACCCAAATCTCCAAAGTTTATCTCCAGCTGCGAGGTGATGTCATTGGCTGGCTTACGGAAGTGGTGATCTCCACCTTCTTCAGCCTTTAACAAAATATAATGGGATCAACTTCAGTCTAGGAGAAATTCAGCGGCGAAACAGAGATTATGAAAGGAAGCAATCCTCCTTAATACAGAATTAAAAATAAGAAAAAACAAGCAGGCTGCAGATGCATACTTGATAATATTATTGGGAAAGAATAAATGAAGAGCAGATTGTGATGAGAGATTTGATTTGTGCAAGTTTACTTGTTTCACCTCTATTAAATGATGTATTGTGCACATGCAACATGGTGACCACTTTTAAAGTTAAACTCCAAATTCAAGCACAAACTGGGATACCTTGTGGAATGAGTCGGGGTCAACATCTCCAGCTTCAATCACAGATCCAGCATGCCGCTGCAAACACGGCAAACATGAGTGAGTGAATGAACTCATCATAATAAATCCATCTATTTGTATTTAAATAAATACAGACGTTGACATACTTCACCTACCGTGCCAACCTCCTCGCTCTTTGACTTGTGCAGTACGTAGCCCTTCTTCCACTGACCGTCGTTTCCCTCGTTGGGTTTGCGGATGTTAAACTCGACTTTGGCTCGTTCTTTGTCTTGCATGGCCTTCCACTCGTCCAGGGTCATCTCCTTCGGGCCTTCGTCCTTCACCTCCTCTACTTCATTTTCCCTATGTAGAAATGGCATGAGCTTAGTTTATTCAGTCATTTTCACGTCTTTGCATTCACAGTCATCTGTGCTTGACGCTTACTTGTTTTCGGAGTCAGCAGGGGCGTGTTCTTCACCTTCAGGCACAGGCTCAGGTGCTGCAGACTGATCAAGCTCACTGCAAAATAAATTACAGTGTTATCAGATGTGGGGAACCACTGAAATTATTACACTAATACACAATTCAGAAATCTAATGTCATAAACATGGAGTGCATATGAGCTGTTCATTTATTTTTTATTTATTCAAGCCTCCCTTGACTACATGAAATGGATAATCAAATTGGACTATCTGCTTATAATGGTTCTTAAGCAATATTATATATATATATATATATATATATATATATATATATATATATATATTAGGGCTGTCAAAATTAGCGCGTTAACGCACGTGATCAATTTGAAATATTTAACGCGTAAAAAAAATAACGTAAATAACGCAGTTGCAGTTTTTTATTTCCTGTTGTGGCTGACGTGTGTTCAGGGACGGTGCATCCATAGAGGCGATCTAGGACGCTGCTTTAAGCATGAGAATAGTAAGCGTCCTCACATTCATCCACTACACCCACCCCCTCCCTCCCTCACGGCCCTCGGCCTTCCATATGAACAAAACGGCATGATTGCCGTTTGCATGAAGCGCCAGTTCAGCTTGCTCTGGCCCTGCGTGTGTTTAACGTGCAGAGAAATATGGCGTTTCCTCCAGAGTTTCAAGCAATTTCGGGTGTTTCATTTTTAATATTCAGACTTTAACTGTAGTTCAGCACTTCTCTCATTCAGCATATTTTCATTCAGGATGTTTTAATGGAATTGGATGCCGCATGGCGAACAGAAAGAAAAAACTCCGCATTTCGGGACTCGTGTGGTCATTTAAGATAATCAAAAATCACTGTTTACATGGTCGAGTCTTGATCAGTATACTCTTAATAATCAAAGCTGAATATTGGTGCCATGTGAATGAAAGTGCATGATGAATGCGCAAGCTGTCAAAAACATTTCTCTGCCCTTAAGCTATGCCTCAAATGGTTCATTAAGTTTGACGTGTTTCCCCCCTTTTGTAAAGTGTCGGCTTCACGTTCCTCTGTCAGAATCCTTTCTTGTTAAATACAGCCATACAATGCTTAGTGTAAGCAAATTTGATTAATCTGAAGGGCTCCCTTTCGCTCAGCTGCACTGCGCGCACTGTTTTCTATGTGAATATATATATATATATATATATATATATATATATATATATATATATATATATATATATATATATATATATATATGCGTGTGTGTAGTCCACTTAGAATCCAACATGGAAAGCATTTTTATTTGTTATTGGCATGGATTGTTTACAATTTAAATGGCACTTACATGCCTGTGTTTTTACTTCAGTAATACATACGGCATTTCGTGATTAATCATGATTAATTAAAAAAAAAAAGTGTGATTAATCACGTTGTTTTTAATCATTTGACAGCTCTAATATATATATATATATATATATATATATATATATATATATATATATATATATATATATATATATATATATATATATATATATATAGATATATATATATACATATATATATATATATATATATAGATAGATATGTATATATATATATATATATATATATATATATGCCTATATATATATATATATATATATATATATATATATATATATATATATATATCTCTACATATATATGTAGATCTATATACACATATATATATATGTATATATGTATATATCTATCCATAGATATATATATGTATATATATGCATATATATATATATATATATCTATATG